TAAGTCTGAAGCTATGAAAGGTATGCATTTAATCTCACATGTTCATAACTTCATTTAGCATATTTACAGTCGTGACACAGCAAAACCGCGGCGAGAAAGCTGCGACGTCGAAATCCCACCCACAACAGCGCGCCGACGAAAGCGCGATTAGGGTTAAGGTAAAGGGTTAGGGTTAGGTTCAGGGTTAGGGTTATTACGTTGTTTTCGCGTTGTTTGTTGATGGCGCGCCTTCATCGGCGCGGTTTTCTCGCCGCGCCTTCGACGTAGCGGTTTTCTCGCCGCGCCTTCGACGTCGCGGTTTTCTCGCCACAATTTTGACGGCGCGCATTTGTCGTGCGCGCATTTGTCAGTGAATCATTTACAGTCAGCCTTCTATTCGAAAACATAAATGTGACAGTTTAGCTTCACCTTGACTCCACAGAGAAATAATTCTTTGATTAAGGCTATACAAGTCAGTTCAGGAACCGAAGGAAGATTGAGAAAAAGCTTCTTTGTTCACACTCACGCTCTTTCATGGAACACTTTTTTCAGACGTTTCTCTAAACTCTCTTAAAAGTGTACTATGTTTGCTTAGTTTCAGACACACATCTGCATCTACCTTGGGAATTGGAATGGGGAGATCTAGGCAAAATATGTCTCACGTGGCTGGAGCTTCATTTCTACAAATGGAGCTTCATTTCTACAAACATTAAACCAGACAGTAGAACTGATTCTTGAATGGTTCCACAGAGACGTTCTGCTGCTAACCATTTCATAAACTGTATAATACTTTTTAATGGAAACCTTAAATTATTTAGGAAAGATACTTTATGAAATCTCTTGATCAAATAATTTATATATATTAAGTTGTTTGCACAAAAATATTATGGGCTTGCATAATGAAAGTGTGCTCATTACATGTATGCATATCCTATATATTAAACAATCATATTTTAAAGCAGTATTGAGAATACGTGAAACAGTGAACAAAATGTTTTAGAGGGAAAAAATAAAAGCTTGCTATGTATTGGAAGGTTGGGAGACCTGCATAAAATACTAAAATAATTGTTCGTTTCAAGCTTTTGAACCAAAACGGACAGTTCACAGAACTTTTATCTGATTCAGTAGACTGTTAATATTGCAGATCCTTACTTAAGTTCTATCATTTTCCTCTCAAAAGATATTCCATCCTTGGTTGTGTGCCTGGATACATTTAGCTTAGGTCTCAAATTCCAAAAAAAAAAAATATGTGTATATATTTTGAACAAAGAATTGTTTGTTTAAAATGGTTTACTACATGCAAATGTGAATTTCCAAATAGCAAAACAGCTGTGTGTTGTTTCCCCCCCCCCCCTTTCACAGAAATGGAAAAGAAACTTTCAGAAGAAAGAATTACAAAGCAAAAAGTGGAAAACTGTTTACTGGAGGTTGAAAAGCAGTGTTCTATATTGGACTGCGATCTGAAGCAATCCCAGCATAAAATAAATGAGTTGCTTAAGCAGAAAGATAAACTAAGTGAAGATGTAAGTATAAACTTCAAAAAAAACAACACCAGTTTTAAAGTTTGCTATGCTACATCTACTTACAGCTTTCCCCATCTTTTGTTACATTTAGGATGAATAATTCTCTATAAAGATCTATGTTTTTGTTTCACTTTTATAATTTATACTTAGTTAACTTTTTATCAAAACCCAAGTGTGGACTAGATTGAGAGAATCAATGAATACAAAGAATTCTATAGGTCAGTGGTCTCCAACCTTGGCAACTTTAAGACCTGTGGACTTCAACTCCCAGAGTTCCTCAGCCAGCAAAGCTGAGGAACTCTGGGAGTTGGCTGAGGAACTCTGGGAGTTGAAGTCCACAGGTCTTAAAGTTGCCAAGGTTGGAGACCACAGCTATAGGTAATTTTGAGCACATACGTTCCTCGACATACAACCTCAATTGAGCCCAAAATTTCTGCTGCTAAGTGAGACAGTTGTTAAGTGAGTTTTACCTCACTTTACAACCTTTTTTTAAACCACAGTTGTTAAGTGAATCACTGTAGTTCCTAAGTTAGTGATACGGTTGTTAAGTGAATC